CGAGTCATCCGATGTTATCTCACTGCCATGGTCATCGCTTTCGTATCCTCCGGGAAGGAGTTGTTCTCCTTCGTGCTGATCACGTCTCTCCATTTGATCAAGTGTGCCATATGAGGGACCTGAGTGGACGTCAAGTAAGGGCATTGCGGCTGAGCCGAGAACGTCAGTGAAGAATCCTGAACAGCACCGCGAGTAATGTCCATTTATCAGATACGATTATCAAGGCGGTAGTGGCGTCCTGTGGGAGCGCGATGATGTAGCGACACTCGAAGTTTCAAAATCGAAGTAATCGGGTTCGAAAGGTCTGGTATATAAGTCGAGATACTTGAGCTGACGGAGGAAGATATGGACGATCTGAGCCAGCCAGATCCAGAAAAAGCAACGCGCGACTAGTCAAAAAGGGTATCTCAGGGGAATCGAAAACGAAACAGGGGAAGGAATATTTGGATAAAAAAGAAAAGAAGAAAAACCCCAGGGCGAATTGAAGAACACTTAAGTGAGACGTCAGGTTGGGTATTGGATTCGCAAGTTCGTTAGGTAACTGATACGGATGACGGCACGCGGATCGTCAGATCTATCGTACAAAGGGGCAGAGCTCTAAGCAGGACTCTAAACTCGGCGTGCTTCAGACCAATCGACTCGATCGACAAGGGGCACTTATGCACGCCGACGTGGGATGGGCCACAGGTTTAGCCTATGGGCCTAACGCCCGAGGCCCAAAATGGTAGGGTGGCTTCCGATGCACCGAAGGGCTTGTAGAGTGATGCCTATATTATTCCACTCGATATAGTTGAATAAATTTGAAAAGCCTCATGCGAGAGGGCGGAGTCGTGGCAGAGCTTATCCCTCGGACTCGAGCGCACACTGACCCCTCAGTCATACATGTGAGCGCACGGGGCAGTACAGTATCGCACGCAGTTGTCCCCTGTTTGTGTATTCAAGCGCAGAGGACCAAAGTAAGTTCGAGACTGATCAGGGGGAGAAAACTGGATTGCAGCCGAAAATGAAGAAGTGGGGAGGAAGTGGCAAAGCGACCAGGGTGAGGGATGTTAGGCAGGTGGAGAAGACTTTTGAGAATCAGATATGATAAGATCACCTGGTTCGGTCCGAACGGAAGCTACGGATTCCTATAGGTTGGCTCCTTACCCTTGAATCGGGATATCAGTCGGATAAATGATTGCAATGATAGCATTTAATTGTCCATGGAAGGTTTCATCAATGGAGGATTATCAACAGATAAAATATTCCTCTGCCTGTGTTTGCCTGTCTCTTTTTCTCAAAGAGACGGTCAGCTGACGAATCATACTTGGAATGAAAGCTCCTCCACCATTTCTCCCCCTTGCAGCACTCAAGAAATACCGAGTCGGACTTCATTGGTCTTTCAGGAATAGTTCGCACGACTTAGGCCCAGTGATTCAAAACAGCCGAGAAGAACCAGGAATGTTAGCAATATAATACAACCCCCTATTCAACTATACTGGACGTATGAGAATGATCTCCCAGCGCAGAGAACTACCTAAAGCCCGCACTGTCCAGTCTCATGATTGGGGGAGATGACATTCGGGTCATACCGCTCAAGGATCATCCAACTAAACAGCTCATGTCATGTCATTTTTTTTTATTATTTTTTTATCCCCCCCCCCCCCAAAAACCTCTGCTTTTCGTATTTCTCCTCGCTCTTCCGGCCCCTCCTCCATCAGAAGAACCGGTTTCTTGGTATGAGTCAGTCTGAGTAATAACCACTCTAATAGACCGGGAATATCCTCGTAGTCACTTCACGATAATGGATCATGTTCCGATTTCCACCAGAAGCCGCGAGTACCGCGAGCTGAACGGACTTGTTTTCTTTTTCCTTCCCTTCTGCCGAAGTTAAAATAAAATCTCCACTTTGCTCTCACAACTAATGTCTTGACTGTCCAGTCAACACGGATTTTGAGGTCGTTAGGGCGAAAAGAAATAAATAATAGTAATAGTAATAATAATAACAATAAATGAAAAAGAAAAAGCAAAAGAAAAAGGGAAAGGGAAATACCACAGGGCCACACAGCTCCTCCCAACAACTCGACGGGCTTTAGTGAATTAGTAGGTTATTTGTAGATTGTTGTTGCTTCCACGTAAGATGTTTGCCTAACAGTGGAACTTCGTTAACAGCAGTCAGGTATAATTTAAGCAAGCATCGATTTATAAGGTTCAGAGAGTCCATCGACTTTGTATTCTATTTTTTTATTTTGTTTCCTCCCCCACCAAGTCTTTCATTTCCTACTACATTACAATAGCTATAGGTAGCACTACCAGTTGTCCGTACTCGTATACTATGTGGCTTACTACAAACATGTCGTGTGCTACTACGTATGTCGTCTGAACGCAGACCTGAAGTGTCTGTAACTCACGAAGAAGTCTTACAGATATACCTAAGTGATACTTTGGATTGGATAGAAGCTACTAGATACATGCCCAATATCCTGATTTCGACTACAGCTAAAGCAAAGGAAAATTTTGGTACGACCTGCATAATAAAACCGTTTATATATCCTTGGATTTCTCACATATCCGGGTTTTCGGTGGGACCATGTGGCTGAGCTTTGATCATAATATATCTTACTTCAAACCTTAGACTCTACAAATAACGTGACTGGTAAGCGAGCGACACATGTAAGCTGGCGACGCAGCTCTATATTCTATACAAATCAGCCCTTTTTACTACTGGAATATCTCAGCAACCACAAGTTATAGTACTATAATATTTAAAGATAATATATAATAGTACTTTATCTTCAATAAATAAAATAGAGAAGTTTATATAAGCGATACTTCTTTTAGTATTAAATATTACACCTATATTTTAGATATCTCTACTGGAAAGACCCAAAAGCATGACTTCACGATGCCTCTACTCGACCCATTCCATCTATTCACTCGAAAGATTCCGGCATCCCTGTAGACGGCACTAATTAGTATACATTTCTCATTTGCTATCAAACAGAGAGATAAAGTTGAGGCCAAAGGAAGTCAGAACATACCTTCAAGTGACGCCTTCACTCGGACACTCTCGAAGTCATCATCCCTTAGATACATAGCAAAGTGCAAGTTGCTAGCACCGAGACACCCACCTTGTTAGGATCCTGACCTATAAGTAGTCGAATAGTATATTGATACAGCCCCAACATTACTGAATTCTGACACTGATCTACGTGATCCCGAGGCGAGGGACATGCCAGCTGCCACAAATGAGGCAGACTCCATGAAGTGGATACTCTGCGTTGTGAATTGCCTTGAGTATCTGTGGTCTCACATCAAGTCCCTGTTTCCCGCAGATAAGATGAGATCAATAGAGCTTTGTTGGCATCCGTCACGGGTAGTAAAGACTCGAGGAGCGAGGACACATTGGAAGAGATCGCCGGGCCTAGGGAAAAAGGCAGAATATATGTTTGGTTGGCGGAATTTGTCGACGAGTCATACCAGCTGGAACCTGATAAGGCAGATGAAGCAGAATCTTCAACGATAGGGTTTACAGAGCCTTCAATCTCCTGTCTTGGAGGCAGAAAATTGTTAACACTGGGTATGCCACTGGCTAGCCTTGAATTAACGCTATGAGGCCGCTGGAGTATTTCAAGCAGGTCGATATAGTTTGACTCGGGCCTGGAGAACATGTTATCCTGGAAAGATGTAGGGCAATTCTCTCATCCTGCACCTCACCAGCAAGCTCTACATCCCGATCATTCTCCCAGTTGGAAGTTTGATTTGAAGTGAACGCCGGGGTGTGTTACCGACGACGTAATAATCCCGGATAATATTGTCGGTCTCATAAATAGTCTAGAGCGCGCAATCGCATGAAGAGAGACGTGTTATGCATCAACCCGCATTCAAACAGCTGGCCAAGCGACACACTTATTAGAAATACAGGATAACGTACTTTTATGGGTTGCTGTAAACATCGTAAAAAGCGGTGCCTTCGTTTCTCAATGGCTGTCAAGGTAGCCGCCTCCTGATGTGATAATCTGAGATTGCTCGTGTTGTGGAACGAGGCCTTAAGGCCCCATTGGCAAGTGTGGTCATGGGATTTGCAGTTCTTACACTTGGGGGTGTGCTCCATCACCTGGTGGCAGTAGGAAACGTAAGCTGGAAGTGAGTAACCTTTCCTCATATCATATAGTGCAAGGGGCAGAGAATAAGTAGGTACGACTTTCTACCTACACTTTCTACGACGGCTTCGGCAACGAAGGCTGGGAATATGCATGTTTACATGATTAGCCCCAAGGCGCAAAACAAGAAATGTAATAAAAAGAATAATACATACCAGCCTGAAGGTGACCTTCTTTTGACTAGCATACAGCTTACTCTAGTATGATGTTAGGGGAGAGTGGAAAGGATTAATGGCTATAATTTCAATTTGCTCTCTAAGCACTGTAGTATGAGCTTGCTCAACGTTAAGATCAAGTCCATCCGCCGATACTGGCGGTTACACTTACTCGAGTTTATAAATTAGTAAGTCCAACCGCCTCCAAGAGGCTCCACATGTACCGATTGATTCGTGGGGTTATCAATTACTGACACATACAACCAAGTATTGTTGTTTGTCGATATATATAAAGACAGCATATAGTATAGACACAGATCTCAATGTTAGGTCTATCTGCCACTACCTAGCATAATCCCCAGAATCAAATGCTCGCATTCAAGCATCGTCGGGTAAGCAAGATAGTCCCTAAAGTTATCTGTGGGGCCACCCCTCGAATACTAGTTACTAGTACCTTCAATATAAGTTCTCTCATGGCCAAGCCTTAGCGGCGCTTCCACTTGTATGTAAAGGGTCAAAGTGTTTTCGGCATAAGTCACCAAAGAACCGAATTGTCAATGCTCTCGCAGGAGTATTTCAACCATGCTTACCCTCGGTCCTCCGTGTGCCTCAACAGGTGTACTGATTCAAATCAGATTGAGAGATCATTCCCGCTAGACTAAGCCTGACACTGTATATATTCATCACACCAGCGAACTGTGTAATGTCCACTCAATACAGCTTATCCCTGGTCGTCCGCGTACCCGAAGGCCAGTCACCGAAATTGGTTAAAGAATCAATTCCTGCCCCGTCACCGGGCCCTGGACAAGTGCTGGTCAAAGTGTCTCATGTAGCTCAAAACCCGACAGATGGTAGGGCCCCTTCGCTTCATCTACTCTCTTGTTTTCATTCTACGCAGGGCATAGGCTAATCCACCCTTAGTTCAATCTTTTGACAGCAATGCTTTTGGCGACGGAACCGTGCTGGGCTGTGACTTTGTCGGGGAAGTGGTTCAAGTTGGCGCGGAAGTAACGCGATTGACCATAGGTGATATCGTAGCCGCATTGATCTGGGGAGGGGAGACCAAGGGGCTTGGTGCATACAGCGAGTACTGCTTGGCTGATCAGCGGATTACTTTCAAAGTGCCTACAACTCTCTCTCGTGAAGATGCTAGCACAGTTCCTCTCGCTGCAGCCACTGCGTGGCTCGCATTATTCTCCCCAGATTGTCTCAATCTCGACCGTACTAAAGCACAGGGTACAAGTGTGCTGGTATGGGGAGGTAGCAGTAAGACTTCCTTTCTCATTTCAAAGATTCCGATCATCTAACGCTATCTGATGTGAAACAGCCAGCGTTGGTCTGTACTCTATTCAAATCGCCTCTCTTTATGGGTTCGATGTAATCACTACATGTAGTCCCCATAATGCAGAACTAGTGCGATCATATGGTGCAAAATATGTCTTCGATTATAAGGATAAGAAGGTGGTGGAGGATATCCGAAAAGCTGCCCCCAATATCTACCATGTTTTTGACACTGTTGGAAATCAAGGTTCATCGCCGACGGCTTCACAAGTGTTCGGCGATCGCCAAGGCAGGATCTGCACGGTGCGGCCTGGCAAAGCAAATACTGAGGGAGTCTCCGAGAACGCCCATGTCACGGACGTCTTGGTGTGGACGGCATTTCTCAAGGAACACAGATATGGAACGTTCTATTGGCCGGTAGGTATTCATAAGTCGATTGCTGTGACAGCCAATACTGAATTTCTTCTATAGGCGTCTGAAAAAGATAATGGGCTAGCGAGTGAACTGTTTGAGAAACTAGGTCCGTGGCTTGAGGAGGGCACGATCAAGCCGAATGTTACAAAGGTGCTTTCCGGGTTGGACGCTGTTTCTGGTGGTTTCCAGAAATATAGGGATGGGAAGATCTCAGCATATAAGATTGTCTATCAGATATAAAGCACGGCATCAATCGCAGCTCGACTAGTTTGAGGGCAACTTTGATCTCTAGAAATGACTTCGGAAAATTTGAACGGCTTTGTTACAACTATTAATGCACTTACGGAAGTAGCTTTAGCTATAAATGCAGGCTCTATTCTCACTACTGTTGATTTTAGGACGTTGGTACAAGTTGACGGTAACAATTGCAGATATTATCTCCACACTAGCATGCTTCTATGTCCATAGCACTGCCAGTATACCCGAGTGTTGACGAATTGATCGTTCAATAAGCAATTTACCTCACACACAGAGTCTAATTACTATAATGATTATACCCAGGTCTGCCTATCTGCCCGCCAGATCAAACCGTGTCAATAATTAGGTGCCCGAAATTGACCACCAGATCCTGACCCTCGTTAGAAGGTTTCGCTGCGTATAGTCCCACCCAGAGATCTTGGACGTCCTGTTCCTCGAAAAACCAAGTAATCTCACGTAGAGGATTCTTCTGCACACCTTCAACTAAGTAGATCCACAGACTGTTGTCTGGTTCTCTAACGATTTCCAGCGTTGCTGCTCCACCACCTGACGGAACCGGTTGTAAACTCCAGTCCGCAAATCTATCTTTCGTAACGGTGCTCAAATGGGCTCTACCATGAGTGAGCTCAATACCCGTCTTAACCCATCTCTGAGGACCATTTGCGCTGTTCAAAACAAGGACGAGTCCACCCTGGTCGTATTTGTCTTTCCAAAAGGCATTGAACGCAACCCTAGCCCGTTTGAATGAATTCAGCGGGACGCTCTGGTATAGGATGGGAGCGTTGAATCTTTCCGTGGATGGAGGTTTCGACCATATATCCGTTCCCGGAGAGGCTTTTATTGTGAACTCGGCAGGAAGGGTTCCATTACCAGGGACCTTTTCGCTAGAGTTGGCAAAGGCAAATGTTGACATAATGGCTGGGATATTTTCTTTTTTTGGTCTCCCAGATAACGTTTATAATGCAGGAGGTAAGAAGGAATGATGAGGAGAACGTGACCCAGAAGACGTTACCCGAAGATGAAACTTAGAAAATAAGAAGAGAAACAAGGGAAAGGTAAAGAGGAGGACGAGGGAATATAAACCTCCGCATACGTCACTAGACGGTGGTGCTCCACAATCCCCCAGTACAGACAGTACTTGATCATGACTCTATGCTCGGTGGGGTTTCCGACGTACTCGCGTTCGGCGAGAATAGGAAGTGGAATACGGGACATGTCGGTGACATGTGGGCTTTTTCTTTTTTCTTTTCTTCTTCGTTTATGGATATAAGTGAAACAATCTTGGGGGATTTTGTCTCAATTCGTATCTCCTGCATTACGAACGCCGAAGTCAATGGTCGATGATGTGATTCATTGGTTGTTCTCCGCACCACCCATTTAAGCAAATATCTTGGCGGTCTAGATCGGCTGACATAAGCCAGACCATCCCCGTTTGGGAAGATAATAGCTTCAGCCTAGAGCCTAGATTGTTAACTTTTCTTTGATGCCTGGCGATAGAAGCATGGGTCTGTTCTTGTTCGGCCAAACTACCTCAGATATGGGCTAGGCGAATGCTTCTATTGTTCATGTGACGATCGTTCGTCATGTCTTCTTCGCGACTACTTCATCCCGACGAATATGAACTGGAAACTCGTTCCTCTGCTGACTCTCAGGAGAGCTTCAACTTAGACGAGGCCGACTTTGAGTCGCAAGTTCCACCTCGACCCAGGCGACTCTTGCGCCGAGTGCCCTTCTTATCACGGATTTTTGCTTCCACTTACTCTGGATATCGTCGTCTCAAAACCTCCCGGCCCTTGATCTCGGCTTCGGCGCGACCCAGTTGTCTGCGACGCATCCTGTTTCGTCGGGCCTGTTTCTATCTGCATGCCATTGTCGGTATCATTCTCGCTCTTCTTATCCTCACTGCAATCCTACGACCCTCGTATACCCGACCTCCGCCCCATTATACAGCACTTCGATCAGCCGTATCACATTCAAGCGCCTCTGGCCGGGGGAACCCTGATAATGAAAAGGTGTTCATAGCTGTTAGCTTATATGATCGTGGTGGGAAGCTAGCGCAAGGACAATGGGGCTCTACTGTTCTTCAACTTATCGACTTGCTTGGCGAGGATAACGTTTTCCTAAGTATCTACGAGAATGACAGTGGGCCGGAGGGGGAGAGTGCGCTACGAGCCCTGGAAAAACAGGTCTCAAGCAATAAGTCTATTATAATTGAAGAGCATTTTGACTTGAGCAACCTGCCTAGGGTGACCATTCCTGGGGGTTCTAAACGTACTAAGCGTATCGATTACTTGGCCGAGGTCCGGAACCGAGCCTTACGGCCGCTGGAAGAATCCGAAACGCAATACGACAAACTTCTATACATCAACGACGTTTTGTTCGATCCAATCGATGCTCTTCAGCTCTTGTTCTCTACTAACGTTGATGACAACGGTATCGCCCAATACCGGGCAGCGTGCGCTATTGACTTTTCCAACCCGTTCAAGTTCTACGATACATATGCAACGCGTGATGTGCAGGGCTATGGCATGGGTCTTCCGTTCTTCCCTTGGTTTACCTCCGCAGGAGGAGGGCAGAGTCGACGGGATGTATTAGCAGGAAAGGATGCGGTGCGTGTCCGCAGTTGCTGGGGAGGAATGGTGGCATTCGATGCACGATTCTTTCAAGGCGGTGTGAAACCGGCAGTGGAAATGGGAGGAGAAAAATTCCCTGTTCGTTTTCGTTCTGCGCCAGACTTGTTCTGGGAAGCTTCTGAATGCTGTCTGATCCATGCCGACATCGAAAAACCGCCATCGAGCGGGGATGAGATCGTGGACACTGGGATCTACATGAACCCTTTCGTACGCGTGGCATACGATAGCCGCACCCTATCTTGGTTGTGGACGACTCGACGGTTTGAGAAACTCTACTCTATTATCCATGACATTGGCAGTCGTCTTGTGGGTATGCCTTGGTTCAACCCTCGTCGATCAGAAGTTCGTGGTCAGGCTGTTGAGGAGACGGTCTGGGTGCCGAATAACAAAGACGATGGAGGCGGATCTTTCCAGACGGTTACGCGAATTGCTGGGAATGACGGTTATTGTGGACGACGAGGGCTCCAAGTAATCGTTGAACATCGCAAAGAGGGCCAGGACGGGTTCGAAAGTATCCCGGTACCAACGTGAGCCTTGCGATATGATCTTTTGCCAGAGAGAGTTACGTGCAAATATTCTTTCTGGAATATGGGGTATAATGACTAACTCACTCTCTTCTTGTGAAACACATTTAAAATATCAGAGACGTACATAATGAAAGGCTGGAAGCTAATAGAATGCGGCAGTTTTCCTCATAATAACCAGAATATTTATTGAATATCTGATGTAAAGTTGAACTAGACTTGTTGATTGTCATGACAGGTTGAGCGTGAAAATCATTCGTATGTTTGCTAAACCACAGATATTGTGTTATCTCCCTTTGATATTGTCATTGATCGATGTTGACAGAGGGACCCCCTGTGGTTATTTGTCAGTCGCTTCATTCACCATGTGGCTAAAGCAATAGTATACTGATGCGATCGTTTGCAGGTCAGTAACAGATGCTTGCCTTGGACTACTCCTATAACACCCCCCCCCCTCCCTTCTCTCTCCTTGTCCCCCTCTCCATCTTCATCCTCATCATCATCTTCTTCTTCTTCCATCATCACGAAGCCTCTTCCGGGCTACAAGTGCAAGCTTTATGCGCTTATTCACTTTTCTCCTTACTGTACATAGCATCATCATGCTGTACAACTTTCTGTCACATATCCATCAAACCTTACGCTTGTTCAATCCTGTGGTCAGCGTCTTATGCAAAATCTTAGATACTCTTAGGCTCAAATCCATCATGGCAAGTCCGTTTGAATTCAGCTCAAAAGTCACCGGCGTTATCCATAGTGTATTCGAGTCCTTCTTGGAGAGAAACACTGCTCATATCCTAGATGAGAGTCACCACGCTCCCCTGTCAAAGGATCAGGATGATATCGTGACCTCTATAAATAGCCCCTCCACGGTTTGTTTTGTCTCCCTCTCCCCCGTTCTCTCTCTTAACCATTCACTCTCACTCTCTCTCGCCCTCTTCCCTCTTCTCTGTCTTCGTCCAGCAAACACCGCCTCCAATCCCAGCGTAACATTACTATTCCCCCTGACCAATATTGTTTTGTCTTGCCTTTTTCTACTGGGAGCTGACGTGCGGATCGATAACACAAAAACAGTCATCTTCCGCTGGCTACAAGACTCCTCCCGTCTTTCACACTCAAAGTCCCTCTCCCTCACTCCCATCCTCCTACCATTCTAATATTAACGACGCGCATATCTCATCTGGTCAAAAGCCCATCACAAAGATGTATCCTATCGCCGATGTCGATGACACGGCAGGGTTTATGGCCGCTGCCAGGGCTTTGAAGCTCGACCCAAATGCTTACAGGAAGGCATCCTCTGTGGTTGCTGCTTCTGAGGACGCATCCAGCGAGCATGGCAGCCTCTCAAAGACTCATGATGACTTCGCCAAAACCCCTACCGCTGCTGATGATTTTGTGTTCACCTCCACTCCTAAAGAGCCCAATACTCCTGGTAAGTCTTTAAACGTGTTGTCTATCTGAAACACAGCTCACACTCCTGCAGCAGAGTTTCAGGTCAATGTCGATGCCAATTTTACTGGCCCGGGCAATGACAGCACACTCGCCAGCTTTGTTACAGAGCCCATGCCTCTCGAGGTCGTTGAACAGTCCAGCGCGTCCGAGTTCGTCTCGGCTGACACCTTTGCTACCACTTCCCATGTTTCTGTCGAGGGAAAAGAGGACCGTGAGCACCAGACCACATTTGAGACCTGGGGTACTCCAGAGTTCCGTGACAAACCCGGTATGACGTTGATCTCCATCCTGCCCTGACAATCTTTGCTAATAGGCTTGTTCCTTCAAGCTGCTCGCGTCAGACGTGTTCTCATCAGGGGGTTGCCCTCTGCCTGGAAGACTCCTGCAAGGGTCCTATCCTTGATTCACAGCGGTACTATTGAGAGTATTTCTGTGACTTCATCTGGCACTGCCCAGATTCTGTTCTGTGACCCCGAAGCATGCAAAGCTTTCTACGATAAGTACCCCAACGGCATCGATCTTGATAAAGAAAGAAAAGTCACTGTCTTCGTGGAGATGGGGAGAGAAGTCGACGTTGTCAGTTCTCAGCTATCTTTCAGTCTGTCCACTGGTGCCACTCGTGCTGTCCGTGCTGTTGGTGTTGACCTCGATATTACCATGCGCCAGCTTTCTGACTTGGCCGCCGGCAATCATCGTAAGGTTGAAAAGATCCTGGACAGCTACGTTCCTGGGGAGGTAAGTACTCACTTCCGAGTAACGATGTTATATTGAGTATTAATCCATGTAGGCACGCAACGTTATCTTCCGTTTCTGTAGCATCGATGATGCAGTTCGGTTCCGTGCCGTGCTTGTCCGCAACGAATCCTGGGAACAGTGCAACATCCAGTATGCTGCTGATCCGTAAGTATCTTGTGATATCTGATGTTGGCCGTGACTGACTGTACAATTAGATGCGAACTTGCTACCGGCTATCACACCAACTGAGTCGTTCATTCTATGACATTGTCACATAATAGCCGTGGGAGGTGACAGAATCATCTTTGATACATGTTCGGAGGATATAGTATTCAGAAAAACCCAAGAATAAAAAAAATGTCGAATTAAGAAACCATAAGAAAAAAAAATCATGGGAATCCATTCGGGATTGAATGACGGGTTTCATGTATTTCAGCTCATCTGCAAATAGCATACATAATAAGACACCTTCCTCCGCAGCTTATGATAGTAAAAAAAAGCCTTCTACATATAGTATTCGGCTATGATCATGGTTCGCCATGGGGATATAGTAAGTACTATGAAGGCGATTCCTCCTTTTTTCTGACAACAATGTAACCCCATTCGACAGTACTTTGATAATACTAGCACTCTTCCATGTCATTAACCAGCCCCTTGCCACAATACGTACCCTTCCAGAAAGCCCATGATATTTCATAAACTATCAATGTAGGCCGGTTAGTTCAGTAAGGCCCAACGCAGAACTCCAACCGTTCGACTATTCATCCACCCATCGTCGGACGATTTAAGCCCGCTCTAGTGTTAGCTCAGTAATTTGCACTGCAAGAAGTGTCACATTGAAGTATAGAAATCTGTGCTTGAGATCCTCAGGTGCCGTAGATGCGAATCTATATAGATCGTTCTTACTCCGGTACTTGGACTCCCACTTCAAGGCCTACGCCAAAGTGTTTACGACTTAGTAGAGAATGCATGTATCTACCGCAAAAATAAAAAAAGAAAAAGATCATGAAAATATATACATATATAGGGCTTTATGTTACCTATAATCATGACTTGCTACAAGCGGTGCGACCACTGCTCCGCGTGTGCCAGAAGTAAACATGGCTTGAGGATTTTAAGTCTCAAATTTGAACGTTAACTACTCGGACATTCTTCTATATGAAATGACCACAGGGACGGGGATATGGGACGTATTGATAGTTCAGTTGGGCGAGCAATATTTCTTATCGAGAAAATCAGAATATATCATGACCCCAAGCTGATGAGCAAAATATATAATCGAGAAACTAGTAGCATCTATCACTGCAGAACAATACTACACAATAGCAACTTAACCTGGCCCATTGAACCACATACCATCATCACAGATTCAATAGCACAAAGAATATACTACCTAGAGTACACCTGAAGCAGTGATCGACTTCCGGCGGTAACCGTCCTATTCCCGGCACACACATATACAGACAGAGAGAGACAGAGAGAGAGAGAGAGAGAGAGAGAATTAAAAAAAAAAAAAAATTTAAAATGAAAAAATAAAAAAACATAGTAAAAATTCACAGTTGATAACTGATCGCCATAAATAATACACCAACTATACATGCCCGAGTAAACATTAACATTAAGGTACAAGTTGCTCTGCCCTAATGCAAGCAAAAAAAAAAAAAAATTTAAATGAATAAAATAAGTAAAATAAAGATTGCGTTCAAGTTCAGCTTGATTTTGGCAGGTGAAAAAAGAGCTGAGAAGAAAAAGCCGTTGGGGCTAAAGCACTATCCGCAGGCACTATCCCGAGATAGGTTGTATACCACGAGAACGACACTAAGAATTTAGTCGATCCCTCAGTGATCAACATGTCGAATGCCTCTATCGATAATGATGAGTTGGGTGGAGAAATGGAGGATTCGTAGATTCCGTGAGGAATCGAATGAATAGGATTGTGTGATCTTCGTTAGTGGCTTGTTGAGCTGCAGAAAGATATGTATGCATGTCCATATATAGATCTCTGTTATGTATCATATGAATTGCTGATTGGCGTGTTCGGATAATGCATCTGGTGTATCTCATGTTGTCCAGTACTATTTGATTACTAGTACATCCGCACTGCCCTGAAGATATTCAAAGCGTATAGTAGCTGTGAATGTGGATGTAGCTATTCAACAACTTTTTGGTCCCCAAGATACAGTAGCTATACTTCGGAGTCGGCTCATGTACTTGTATGTGTGTAGTAGTGGACCTAAAAATCAATACCCACACAGAGTACCATACAGAACATGACATGACCATGAGAAAATACAGGCCGATATTAATACATCAAGATCGGCCTTCAAAAAAAAAAAAAAAAAAAAAAAAGCTCGGCCGGCCGAGATTAAACCTGATCTCATAATGATAGCATAATATCCAGTTTTCCTACAAAGAAACAAGAGGACAGAAGATCCCAGTCTAGAAGGGTGAAACGACCCACTCCAAGCTCGTTACATATACGCGGTGAACTAAGTCCCAAACAAGACACCAGATTTTCAAGCTTGATACTGGCTCGGTAAGAGGCGAAACGAGAGAAACAAATAAACGCCGTAAGGTCCGAGTAACCCCGACATACGGAGTCAAAAGTGAGTGGGAGCGGGGAATTCATCCGCAATTCCCGATCTACCCTGGTTTAGCGTGGAGAAATAGTCAAGTAAACTTCATGGAGCCTCCAGGTACCTGTACTTACTACATCCATACTACTCTAAACACTACGCCAGAGGAGGTAGGTACCTATACGAGTTCCATTTCGCACATTCCCTGTACGGAAATCGCTCGAGTCTGCAGAGTTGGCTGCTGAGGAATTCTAAAGTTTCGATAGGAACTGAGGATGGATCCATCTCGGCTAGTATCTCCTCTGTGAGTAAAATGGACGAAGGCAAAAAAAAGGCGACCGAATTGGTGGCGGTGGGGGCCAATTCCGATGCAAAATTGACACTATATTATTACTATGTCAGAATAAACGAGCAGACCATTTGAAGATCGCGAAAGAATGCGCCAAGCCCAAGGCTTGAGCTTTGCCTTGAACTCCACCTTGAGGAGGGGCGAGCATGTGGAAGTTTAATTTTTTAATTTTTTTGCTATCATCAGTATCCATTTGCCTACCTGGGTTACTGAAAGACACACGGAATTTTCAACTATGAACGATAACGAGATTTGTCTTCGTCCCGTGGAGACCATGGTATACCGTGGATACAACTTCAATGTTCAATTAAGTCACTGCTGTGGGTTTTAGATACGGAGATCGCCGATGGATGTGAAGAAACAAAGAATTTGACGTAGTGGAGTTTCGAGAAGGAAAAGGCTTCGTACTATTGATAGCAAAACATCAACCCATAATTCTGAGGCTGTCCCATGGGTTTTGAAGCGGGTTCCAGTTTAGTTTTCCAAGCAGAATGAGTGGTACGGCCGAAATTATATCAGAGCATAATATTACTCACCCAACGCTGTATATGTACACAAGGAGAACAACAATCATACTCTACCAAGGTCAAAATAAATTAATATAGAATAAAGTAATCTATAACATAAATGAAATAAACAAAACGCAAAAAAAAAAAAAAAAAAAAAAAATTGAAATGAGATAGAGATGGCATGAGAGAAGGAGATTCCCTGTTTTTACCGGACATCAATCCCCTATAGAATGCCATCTTATCATTTTCTAGAAAAAAAAGGCTTATGATACAAGGCAGAAGAAGGATCATAAAGAAAAGATCTGGAATTCCCCAAACATGCCATGACCTGAACTGGTCTAGCACACTCTTCTTCGCCGTCCTTTTCATTGCCTCAATCCCAGTCCACCGACAGGAATCTTACTTACGGAGTAGTAGTTCTGATGATGCGCTCACCGGCTGATTCTCGCGTTGAATACCACCATGGACCCGACAGTCTGGTTGAGGGTGTCGTAGTTGGGCATTAGTCTGTAACTCTCAGCATGTTCCGTCCAGCTGAGGTCGTAACCTGTCCAGGGTTGGCGCTGTACATGTACCCTTACGGTAACCTCACCGGCTCCATGAGTACGTGGCCCATTTCTAATTCAATTTCTCTCTCAAGGAAATAAGTGCGAGCAATATAGGTAAACATGGGATAATCCCCCACTTTTCCCCCTCCCCTTCCCCCATAACGAAAGTAGAATGACAAAGTACGAAGATCCTATCTATCTATTGGTTAATTAAAGTAAAACATCAAGTGACTTGACTGAGGTACTAAGTGAGACAGCAGAATCGAATCTCACATTATCTTTCTGCCGAGCATTGCCGATCGAAACGGTCTGAAGACACCGGCTGTTCTTCTTCTTCTTCTTCTTTTTTTTTCAGTTTGATTTTTACCCCTAACCTGCTGAATTACTATTTTTTTTTTTACTTTTTTTTTTTTATCATTTTATTTCTTTAAAACAAATCTTTCAGAATTTGAAATTTCGCATTACAGTACCGTACAGCTCTTGTATTAAGTTATCCATTCATGCGAGAACGGGAGCCGTCAAAGTCAAAGCTTCTGTCATGGGGTTGTCGGTAAAATCTCCCATTTCTTTTTTAAATTATTTATTATTATTATTATAATTCCATGTTATTTTTAAAAACTTTCCCCCCTGACACCAACAACAATAAATAGTAACCCTAGCTAACCTCCAAAAATCTAGACTGGCATAGTCAACAAGAGAAACACCTGCGAACTAGTTCAAAACAGAAAAAGGCCAACAATAGTGACACTAGTGAATATTCAGTGATTCATTTCCCTAGGCAGAATAGATATTGTGGTCCTGAAAGAGGGGCCCAGAAGCAACCGGCGCGCCGTCCTTATGTACAAAGACTGTGCCGCACCCCAACGAGGTAGACTAGATGCCAATCAATATCAAGCTGGGAGGCCTAATTGGAACCCTAACGCGACTGGGTCTCAATGCATCCTATCTACGGAGTATATGATAGAAAAATTATGAATATCATTGTTTAGCGAGTTCTATTTCTGATACCGAGAAATGCTGTGCAGCGTTGCATTGAAACTTGCATCTTTTGACATGCACCCGAACTGTAAGGCATGAGGCCGCGTTTCCTTTTCCGAGAGTCCTTTGTTTTGTTCAATCGAGACAGGAGATGAGCCGCTGGCGTCTGGTAGTACATATTATTCGGGTGTGGACTTCTACCAGAAAAGGTACGGATGATGACTTGAGTTTTGAGGCGACTTCGCCCCACGTGTTGGGCGCAGGGGTCACAAACGGAATGACAGGAAAA